GGAGTGGGAGGGTGTTGGGAGGAGGGGCAGAAATGGAAACTTTTATAATTTAATAAAATTTACTTAAAAAAAAATAAGCAGGATGAATGATAAATATGTAATATGAAAGTAGATGGGAAATTTTGAGGATTAAAATATCAGGTGTAGATGAGTACTGCAAGGTAAGGAAACAGACAGGATAAAGTGTGGATTGACCAAAGGGGAGACTCAAGAAAATAAGTTAGGAAAACCCACTCAACAGTAAGCTCATAGTTTACCAACACAAGACAGACTTTGGGTTTCTTTAACAGTTTGGGGTTGGTTTCTTACTTTTTTGTTTTTAGTATCTTTCTCTTATTAGGTATTTTGTTTGATTTTTCACTTTTTGTTTTGATTTATTTTGTTCAAAGAGAGTTCAAAGAACATGGAATTAGGTGGGTAGAGAGGTGGGGAAGACATGGGAGGATATAGCAGCAGGAAACCTGATCAAAATAAGTCTATGAAAAAATACAACTAAAAAGTCAAATCATAACTTAGAAAAGGAGTTAGAATCACAGAAAGCATGAGTTATTAAGTGAACATCAAAGTGCAAGGCAAGGGATAGCCCCATAGGAATTACTGGTCAGAGAGACCATAGGGGTCTCCAAATCAGCACAGGCTACTGCCACTGCCCTTACCATGTTGCTACCTCCCATAACTACATGGTAAGACCCTATTCCTGAAGACACCACACACTTGATGTCAGTATATAGAGAAATCAATATCAAGCCAATCAGGAAATATCTTCTGTTCAGTTGGCTTTCAAAGGGTCAGAAGGGGCTTTGCAGGATGCTGGGGGAGAAAAGATATGAATGGTCTTACACAGCACTGGACCCTTCATGCCACAATACTGATCTGCTAGGCAAGAAGTGCCCAGGGGTATAATTGTTGTATGAAGCATTTAGCTGATTATTCTTTTCAATAAAAACTCAAGAGTCAGATACAATTGTAAGAACATGGATGATCAGAGAAGCAGAGGAAAAGTGACAAGTAACTTCCTCTCTCTCTCCTTCTAAAAAATGAACCCTGTCCCACTACTTCCTGCATCTCTCTATATCCCCCTATATGTTCTCAGTTCTCCAAAATCTCTATGGCTAATTTTGGTCTTTATTGTCAGTCTCAGATTTATCAGAGTGAAATGAAAATATCTCACAACAGTTATAGGATGGCTGCCTTCTTATTGGAGTTGAGGACTTTACCACATAAGAAATGCCATTGCTGTGGAATAATATCTTCTGTATAGTTTGTGTGTATATGTCACTATGATTGGTTTAATAAACAAGCTGACTGACCAATAACTGAACAGGATAAAGTTATGTGGGAAAGCTAATGTGAGAAAGATGGGATGAGGAAGGGCAGAGTCAGAAGAGACATCAGTAGATGCACAGGGAGCAGGATGAATGTGCAATGGTAATAAAGGTATTGCCACATGGCAGAGGGTAAATAAAGAATGTGGGTTAATTTAAAATGTAAGAGATAGTTAGTAATAAACCTGAGATATTGGTTACTCATTTATGAGTAATCTTAAGTCTCTGTATTGGTTATTTGGGAGCAGGCAGTAGAAACAGGAAAACTCCTAAAAATGGTACCAAATGTGGCACAATGTACAGCTACATAAATCCTAGAAAAGCTTAAAAAAGCATTCTAAACACACAAAAATGGAGTCAAGTATGGCATCTTGGTAACTGCCTTTTCTCTGTAGGCTGTTTGCTAGCATCAATCAGAGGCAAGGTTCCTCTAAAAGGTAGCTTCCTGACTCAGCAATATTGGCAAAACCAGACATCACTCTTTTTAAAATCCCTGCTAACAAACATTGAAATCAGGTTCATGAGCAGTAGGCAGTGCTCTACTTGGTGGCAACAGGAACCCAAAAGCTACCCAGAAATGGGGCAATACATGTAGCTCCAGCCAGTACCTGTATCAAAAATCTAGGCTCTCAGGGAATCAAGGAGTGGGGTGAAGCCAGTCACCAAATCTTGCACTTTGGTCTTAGCCATGACACTTACTAAAGACTCATGTAGTCAGAAAAATAAGGAAATATGTAGTAAAGACATATTCAGACAAAAAAATTACAAAATCAAAAAAAAACTCTAAATGTTTTACAGTCTATTTAAAAATATACATAAGCTTGGGAGAGAGAAAAGAAAGAGTATGCATAGTCATAGATTAAAAGTATAGTTTAAAATAATAAAGTCCTTAAAAGTGGAGTAAAGTAATACAAAATAAAAAAGTCACATAAAAAATGAAAAATACACAGAGTCTGGATAGTATGTATTATTGTGCTCTCCTTGAATTTTTTGACTGCTGAGGAAGGAGCAATATCTCCTAAGAGAATTTTGATAATAAAAGATGCTGGATTAAACCAGCCTATATATTTTAAAAATGTACTTACTTCAAAATGGAAGTCAAAAGACATATTACTTTGATACAGTGATTCTGCTTATATTTCCATAGAAAATGGAAGGCTGTGGATTCATTCATAGTTAAGGAAAATCAGGTTTGATGGAGGGAGACCCTTTGAAAATTCATGGCTATAAACATAAAGAAATAAACTATAAGACTTGTGATGTATATTTTACCTGCTTAAACATAAAAATTCATCTTTGGCTGACTTGTGTAGAATACGCAGTCTATACTAGTATTAATGTAGATATGTATGTTATCTTTTTAAGTTTATGTATTTTCAGAGCAAAAAGACCATATACCAATACAAATAGATGGACAGGTAATCTCAAAATGCCTCTGTTACATTATCCTCAAATATTGAATCCAGTACAACTTTACTGCTTCTAGATGAGATGATCCAGTCTCACAGAATACCTCATTCAAGGACTTTACCATAATCTCGAATTTTCTCAGAGTCCCCCAAAGATGACAGAGCCCATAGACAACAGTAGCAGTCTAGAGAAAACAATGGTCACACTACCAAAAGAAGGCTTATGGATATTGCCTTTGTTTAGTGTGGTTGGTTGCAAGCTATTATTGGTCATGGTAAAAAAAATAAAATAAATAAATAACAAAAAAACAAGAAGAAGCAAACAAACAAAAAAACAACTAACCAAAGGAGTTAGATTCAAAGATCTCTTTCTGCAAGAAAGGGGAGCATAGAAATGATAAACTGGTAGATTGTTGGTTATTGAATCTATTTTAACCCCTAAAACATTTCACATTGGTATAAATTTGGTATATTGATAAAAATGTAAAGTTAATTTGTTTTAATGTATGTATATTTCTACCTTTCTTTAGGTTATTGTGTTTATACAGTTCATTTAAAAACTTAATGTATAATTTAAAAAAGTTAATAGTCATTTATAATAGTCAAAGTTATAGTCATGTAAGGTTAAACATATATATTTAGATAAATAACTGGTCTTCGAGAATTTAGTATGACATTTAATATACATAATAACCTAAGACTTTTCCTGACAATGAGACATGTCTGCCTGGCAGCACCAATCTGCTTCAAAGTAGATGATGGGCATTGAAGAATCTCCATAAGGACTTTGTTTTCTTTATGGCAAAAGTTAGCCATGCAAGGAAAGAAAGTGCCCTTGCTTCAGTTGCTTACAATGTATTGTCCAAACTGGACCAACAAGATACAAGAAAGGTGACTACCAAACCTTGCCAAGACAAGGTAGAACAGTCCTTCAGAATTTCCTGGTTCACAGAAAAGTCTGTCAAATATGCTAGGCCTATAGGCCACAGCTGAATGTCCCAACATCATAGACGAACTTTGGGTGACTGTTCAGGTAACCTGGTGTCCTTGTCATTAGTTAACATTTCATCATTTTGGGGTCTTTAATGGGGTTAAAGACTAAGTGGTTAAACTTATAGTTTTCCTTAGTTATGATGGAAGGCAATTTAATGACAAAATGTTAGACTAACCAAGATAAAATAGACAATAAAATATTTTCTATGCTTTCACCAAATACAAGTAGAATGGACATTGTAACCATAATTCTTACTTGATAACTCTGTTGTATATAATTTTATTATGTTAAAGTTAAAACCTTCCATTTTAATTAGACAGAAAGGAAAAATGCTGTGGAATAGTTTTTCTATATGCTGTGTGATTATATGTCACTGTGACTGGTATAATAAATGTTATTCTTTTGGCCCTTTAAGGGGCAAGCCACGCCCAGTCCCAGCGACCCCTGGCCTCTTCCCACCATCTTGGATCACATTCTTACTGCTCTCCTTGAGGGGGAAAGTATGCAATAGATATGATCATATTTCCATATATTTATATATGTATATGTATATATATATATATGAGATTTTTCTTTCTTTTTTTATTAGTGGAGGTGGTGGCAGTGTTTTTTAAGACAGTGTTTCTCTGTACAGTCCTTCTTGTCCTAAAACTCACTCAGCATCTCAGACTTTCTTTGAACTCAGAGATTGGCCTGCTTTTGCCTCACATGTGCTGGAATTAAAGGCATGTGCCACCACAAGGCACACAAATTTCAAAGAGTTTTCTAGAAAAGTAAATACTAATCATAAATAAAAACAATGAACAGCTTTCTACCACATCAGAAATGAACTTAAACATTATATTTTACGCATTACAACACCTTGAAATGGAAAGTGTACGTATATCATGTTCTTATATTTATAAATTCAAACAGTTATATAAGTAACTACCAAAAGAAGTCAAGTTAATGTCTGAGATACTCCTACTCATTCTATCTGTCAGGATTGTCCAGTCACTTCACATCATCTTTAGCTGCTGATTCGCTTGTGCTTTGTGCATCTTAGAACATACAGTCCTGAGGTGTGTTCAGTATTACATCATTATCAGTCAGCTTCTAGACCATTCCTCTTCCCTATTGATCACTTGCTCAGACACTGCCTTATGCATCATGTCTTTAACTGTGAGCTTCATAGAAAATGAGGGAAACCTTCTGAAATGAGAGAAAAGCCTTTTCACACAATCATCCCAACAACTGTACCAGTGTTAGAGTGTAAGGGTTCAGGAAACTCACAGTTTACACGGGCTATCACCAACCCATTGCCAGTTCTTTAAATCATATTTTAATCCAATCCAGTATTTGTTTAAATCAAGTTGGGCCTTAAGGAATGCCTGCAAAAGAAACAACACATCTTACCATAAAACTTCTGTCTAATGAGGAAAAAATGACCAAAAATAGTCCCAGCTATTCCCATGTCAGTTCTTCACTGGCCTGTCCTTCTGCCCCTCAGTCCCTCCATGTTCACTTTCTAAAGTGATTTCCCACAAGTAGCTCATTTATGTCAAAACTGATATCAGTTTCATAAGTTATTTAGTATGAAAACTTCAGATGTCCAGTGAAACTCAATTCATTAAATGATTTGTGACTGTGTTTCTTAGACAAAGTCTCAGTGTGTAGCCAAGGCTGGCCTTAAACTCACAATCTTCCTGCATCAAGACCCAAAGTATACACTACACACTGGCTCATTAAAGAGTTTCTGACATCTTATAAAATTATTCAAATAATCTCTCTGAAAGATTACAGAGGCCTGTGGCAAGTGTGCATTGTAAGTGGATCCTGTCTTCAAAGCAAATTCATTAAGATAAAAAACCCTGTGTGAAAGGCTGTGCATCTAAGTTCCACAGTCTAGAGAGGAGGCCATGCTGTAATTCAAACACGGAAGTGACATCTTGGGGAAGAAAAGGGAAGATATTAGGGAGTATTTCTTGTGTCCTACATGACACATTCAAGTGTCATGGTACCTCATTAAATTTCAGAATGTTTTAGAATTCAAGCTTAAATTCACCTATGTTTACTGTATCTAATGGAAAATTATATCATTAGTTAACATTAAAAATTATTTCATGCTATAATTTTTAAACATGTATTAAATTGGTATGTAAATTTTGTTATGTTCTAAATAACAGAGATGTCAAGCTGATCCTTCAAGCATTTCTCTAGAAAAATATAATCCACATATTTGGAGACGTTTCTTTAGTAATAAATGTAATCAGACAGTGGTAGTATATTGGCTACTTTGTTTTTATCTTAAATACTTGATTCTGAATATAGACATCTTTTCTGATACAAACAATACTATGGAGTAAATATTGTGGACAGATTTATTGAAAATCACATAAGTTTACTGGTATAACTGTTTATTGTACAGTTCTCTCGTCGTTTCCATTTTGCAGATTGGTCCAGAGATCAATTATTTTCCATTATCACCCAATCAGTCATCTCAAGCAGCCTCTTTTCTGGGTTCCAAAGAGCAAACCCTCGACAACTGCCTCTGGGGATTTACTTGGCACTCTATGGAAATAAATAACAGCCACTCACAGAATGTGTTGTACCAAATGGTTAAACTTCACCAGGAAAAGACATGCTTCTTTTGGAACCTCTCCTGCAGACTCCAGAGAAATAAAGGAGATTGCAAAGCACGACTGCCTGCCTAGTAATGAGTCTCCTCATAGCAGACCCTGCATCCTGAAACTAAATGGGGAGACTGCATGATTTCTTCTCTCATTACAGGAAAACCACATACAGCCTCTGAAGCACTCTTTTATTTGAAACTCCTAGGTTCATGCCTCACTGTCAAGGGTTAGAGGAGTCCATGAATAAAGAAACTTGTTAGAGTCTATAGTACCAACCAGTTCATCATTATCCTCTATATTCAAAATGGAAAAGGTGCAGTCTTCGCAGGTCTTTTTGCATTTATGCCAGTTTTTATTGTCCATGAGAAAATAACATTTTATGCCACGGCAGAACCAGTGTCCAACATATTTGTCTACAACAGAGAAAGGAATGGTTAAAATTATTACTTTCTGGTGTTTTGTAATCAGAACATGTTTAATAAGCCTATATAAGTAATTAAAATCTCACAACTCTCAGAAATTGAGATTCTAGAATGCTTGGTCAGAGGTAGAAATGTATACTGCAATACAATAAATATATCCTAAAATTGTATCAATATACAAAATGTCTTAAACAGAGGTAGAAACATGCATGCATAAAATATGACAAAATAACATTGCATAGGTGTACAAACAGAGCAATATAAATATTCTGTGTTAGCAGAAATAGGAACATTTTAAATATAACCAATACAATTTGAATTTGTATCAATATACAAGAATCTATACCAATATAAATTGTCTATAAATGATAGCTCACGAGTATTAACTCTATTGCTCACTTTTATTATTAATGTGAGTAAACTTAGAATAATCTATCTATTATTCCATTCAATTTCTCTTTTTTTAGTGAGATACCCAAGCCTACAAAATTTCTACCCCAACCACCAACCCTATATCAGTCATAATCAATCCCTAATTGATGTCCCTAACCCTGAGAACAAACTTTGTTGGGAGAAGGGCTGTTGTCGTCTAGAATACTTCCAGCTGTCAAAAGGTGAATCTTTTGGTTTGGTCTTGATAAGTGTGAATTTGATGCCTCACACTGGGCACAAGCTGTAGGAGAATGTGAATATAATAGTCCCACTTTAGCTCAGAATTGAATATAATGAAGGGTTCTTTATTTAGAGGGGGCCACACAGATCACAGTCCTCTCTACACAACCGAGCTGAATCCTGCAGAAACTGAATCCAGCAATCAGGCGAATGGTGTGTGTGTGTGTGTGTGTGTGTGTGTGTGTGTGTGTGTGTGTGTGTGAGAGAGAGAGAGAGAGAGAGAGAGAGAGAGAGAGAGAGAGAGAGAGAGAGAGAAAAGACACATTTTTGGTAAGACCACACCCAACCTGGTCCAGTATCCCAAAGGTTGAAGAAGGTTTCCAGCAAGAGTTTTTCAATCATTATTAAATATTTGTTCAGAGTTTAGAGGCTGCAAAGAGATTTTATATAATCACACTGTTTTGTAATAGTAGGACTTTATAATTTATTTAAGCAAGGACTAATATTATCGTTAAAATTGGTAGATTATAAAGTATATGATAGGAAAAGAAAAAGAAAAGTCTCCAAAAATATTCTTTGACACATCCCAGATTCATTAAATATGTTTTTTTTATTTTTGTTATTATTTTAGAATATAATCATTTTCATCATTAAATGATAGCATAATGATGTAATGTTTGTGCTTAGGAGTCTGAGGTAAGTGGATTGTAAATTTGAGGAGAGTGTAGGCAACCATTTTCTGTCATTATCAAATTGGATTTACTCAATTACCAAAACAATCTGAATTCTCATGGGTGCGGACTTGGTTTTCCTTCCCTTGGGGACATTGCGAGCCAAAATGGCCACTGATTTCTAGAAACTGTAAAACTCTCCTAATTTAACCAGAGGTTTCTGGGGTTCTAGGAACCTATATAAAATAAGGAAACCTCATTGCAACCTGCTAATTGGCCTTCAAAGTTTCTGAAGAAGAAATAATACAGAATAATGCAATTTTTTCTTCAAGATCCCCTCCATACCTGAGAATTTTGAGCAATCTAAAGTAATCTTAGTTTTTGCATAGCATTCTTTGTTGATGGAGTCCAGACGACCTTTGAGGGCATCATAGTCTATAGACATATTTTTCAACATTTTTTCCTTTAAGGAGCTGTCATTTTTCAAGCTGTCGTACTTTTGATTGAGGTCATTTAGAATTTTCTTCTGTTCTTGTTTCTCTTGTCTGTACTGAAAAACTAAAATTAACAGCAGATATACAACACCAAAAATTTTCATAAGGTGTAATATTGAAAGTGAAGATAAAAGAAAAAGTCTATGATGACATCCAACACATATCACTACTTTAATTGATATTTTGAGATTTAGAAACACTTCAATTAACTCACTATAGAAATGGAAACATAAATTTCTCTCTATCTACAACTTCAGTGTGAAGTATATGATACAACTGAAAAATTTATGGTGGAAGTAGCATATCTTCCCATTACTTAATTTTATTCACAGACCAAAACTTACAAATAAATACCTGAATAAAATATTCAACAAACGTATCCTGAAAATCTAAATTAATAACCATAAAAAGGCACAATTCTCAAAGGACCAGATGTAAAACATAATATCCAGATATTAGTACAGCCTGGGAGTGATTTCCTCAAGAGATATAAAGGGATACAATAAGGCTGTACCTTTAATGTCTTGTATTCATTCAGTATTTTTACACAACCATGTCCTCAATATACTCTGAAAAAAACTGAGAAAAATCATTTCTTTTGCACAGTCGTTCCTTACAGAACGTTTACCTAAGATTCATAATAGCCTGGACTCAGCAGGAAGACTATCACCAAGTACCCAGAAGGGATCAAGGCCATGAATGAGAGAATAAAGCAGCAACCAAGAGCCCTACATTAACAAATTAGGTATATAAGAGAAAAGGAAACTGTAGTGTCAGTAAGAAAACATTAAAAGTCCAGAGCCACCTGTCAAATCTCCTGATTATAGACAGGACAATGGACAGACTGTATTACTTGTATTTGTGTCTAAAGTTATTACTTAGGCAGAAAGGCAAAAAAAAAAAGATGCATATCAGTTACTCACTGCATGTCACCAACACTGCAATGGTCACCAGCAGAATGGAACAAAAGATTCCAAGAGGTATTGCAATGAGGTTCCAGGGGACTGAGCTCTCTTAATTCAACAAAACAAAGCAAAAAAAAATCATCCCCATGAAAAGAGAATATTACACTAGTAATTACAATTTCACATAGCATGGAAACAAGGGACATTGGTTTTTAAAATTTTTATGTAAGTCCATCATAAAAACTGCATGAAAACGTGCTTTTTAAATTGTAGATTTCTTCCTAAAATGCACCCACTGTAGAAATCCTACATGTGTGAAGTTTCACAGGATTTCTAGCTTTTTCTCCTTTGGCCTTACATTCTCAGTCATCCTAACTCAACCTAGAAGCAGTTGGGTGACAGGCACTTGCCCTTCACCCAGTCCTACAAGATCAAAAGTGCGTCCTTCTGAAAGCACTGACGGCACAGACACAATCCAAGTAGAAGATTCCAAACTGCAGTGTGCAGTCCACCAAGGGCAATAACTGAGATGAAGAGGAAGAAAAGAGGGGTGGATGTTCTCGAGAATTGTGGGGAATCATTGCTGTTCCAGAGCTGACCTATATACAGGACCATTCTTGAAGGAACCTAAAGTTAACTCTATATTTCTTTTGGTAAATTCTAATTTTCTATAGACAATAATAAAAATCTTTGTGTATCTGAAGTGTTGGGAACATGAGAGCCATGCATCTGATTATCACCTAATCAAAGAACTAAAGGTTCTCAGTTTAGAGATCAGCTCTGACAGGAAGTGCAGATTAAGCACACAAAAAAATAGAAAATTGAGACGTCTGTTCATTTTAATAAACTTAATTATGCTTTGACACTTTTGCAAATTCACAGTGTGGTTTACTCACTCCCATGCTCAGTACCCTCTCTCATCTCCCTTCTGTTCCTCCCAACTTTTTTCCCAGGAAGAGACTTCCTCTTCAAATGGACTACTTTTGCTGTTTCCTTGAATTAGATGTTGGGAATACTAAAGACAACTAAAACACTTTCTGCTAGAGTGAAAGTACTGTTTCTAATGCAAATTTTTATTTCTTCAAGATTTTATTTCTCTACAATGTTGAGTGTTCCTTCAGGCTTGACTGTGTCACTTTTAAAAGTTTCAGAATTCTTTTTATTTATTTATTTATTTATTTTTCCATTCAAAAATTAACACTTGCTCCCCTCTCCCATTCCCCTCCTGTTCCCCCACTCACCCTCCTTCCTTCCCCTCCCTCCTTAGGAGAGGGCAGGGAACCCCGCCCTGTGGGAAGTCCAGGCCTTCCCCCCCTTTTTCCAGTCCTAAGAAGCTTTGCATTCAAATAGACTAGGGTCCCAAAAAGCCAGTACATGCAGTAGAAATAAGTCCCAGTGCCTTTATCAATGGCTTCTCAGTCAGTCCCCATTTTCAGTCACATTCAGAAAGTCCGGTTTGATCACATGCTCATTCAGTCCCGGTCCAGCTGGATTTGGTGAGCTCCCATTAGAACAGACACACTGTCTCAGTGGGTGGACCAACCCCTCGCGGTCCAGAGTTCCTTGCTCATCTTCTCCCTCCTTTGGCTCTTCAACTGGACCTTGGGGGCTCAGTCCGTTGCTCTGATGAGGGTCTCTGTCTCTATCTCCATCCGTAGCTAGACAAAGATTCTATGGTGATATTTGAGAGAATCATCAGTGTGGTAGTGGGGCAAGGCCAGTTCAGGCACCCTCTACTCTGCTGCCCAAGGACCTAGCCGGTGACATCCACGTGGACACCTGGGTTTCCCTCTACAGCCAAGTCTCTTGCCAACCCTAAAATGGCTCCCTTGATGTAGATATCTTTTCCCCTGCTCCTATATCTGACCTTCCTCCACCTCAGCCCTCCCACTGCCCCAAGCTCTCTCCAGTCTTTTCGTTTTCCCTTCTCTCTCTCCCTCTCCTCTTCCCCCAACCACACCCAGCCCCTACCCCACCCTCATGCTCCCAACTTTTGCCTGACAATCTTGTTTGCTTCCAATTTCCAGGGGGATCTATATATGTTTTTCTTTGGCTTCACCTTGTTATGTGACTTCTCTAGGCTTGCGAATTATAGGTTTAATGTCCTTTGTTTAAGGCTAGAGTCTACTAATGAGTGAGTACATACCATATTCATCTTTTTGGGTCTGGGTTATCTCACTCAGGATAGTGTTTTCTATTTCCATCCATTTGCATGCAAAATTCAAAAGGTCATTATTTTTTACCACTGAGTAGTGCTCTAATGTGTATATAGTCCACACTTTCTTTATCCATTCTTTCATTGTGGGGCATCTAGGTTGTTTCCAGGATCTGGCAATTACAAATAATGCTGCTATGAACATAGTTGAACAAATGCTTTTGTAGTATGATTGGGCGTCTCTTGGGTATATTCCCAAGAGTGGTATTGCTGGATCCTGAGGTAGGTTGATTCCAAATTTCCTGAGAAACTGCCACACTGATTCCCAAAGTGGTTGCACAAGTTTGCATTCCCACCAGTAAAGGATGAGTGTTCTCGTTTCTCCACATCCTCTCCAGCACAGGCTATCATTGGTGTTTTTGATTTTAGCCATTCTGACAGGTATAAGATGGTATCTCAAAGTTGTTTTGATTTGTATTTCTCTGATCGTTAAGGAAGTTGAACATGACCTTAAGAGTCTTTTGGTCATTTGAACTTCGTCTGATGAGAATTCTTTTTTCAGTTCAGTGCCCCAGTTTCTAATTGGGTTAATTAGAATTTTCATGTCCAGCTTTTTGAGTTCTTTATATATTTTGGAGATCAGACCTTTGTCTGATGTGGGGTTGGTGAAGATCTTCTACCATTCAGTAGGTTGCCTTTTGTCTTAATGACAGTGTCCTTTGCTTTACAGAAGCTTCTCAGTTTCAGCAGGTCCCATTTATTCACTGTTGCTCTTGTTGTCTGTGCTACTGGGGTTATACGTCGGAGGTGGTCTTCTGTGCTCATGTGTTGCAGTCTACTTCGCACTTTCTCTTCTATCAGGTTAAAAAAAAAAACCCTAATGGTTTCTCAAGTTTGAAAGAATGTATTCACTTCTTGCTTCTCCATTCTCAAGAATTTTTTTCCTACAGGTTCCCATTGTTCTACGCTGTCTGACCTTTTTTTTTATTACCAGCTAACAGCTAGAAATAGGGTTATTGTTTTCAATAGCAACCAGTAGAATATTGTTTTTAAATATCCAAAGCTACAATGCATGAAAAACAGGTGAATTTATATACTTAAAACACTTACCTCTGTGGCCAGCTTCTGTGGGCCCTTTAGCCTCATCAGGCCTTCCTTCATTCTGCAACCCTGAAGAAGACTTATGAAATTTCACAGTTGCGTAAGTGATCTCTTCATCACTCATCTTGGGAGTAAGTGAAGTACAGTAATCGTTAATACCTGACCTTGAGTGATTTCTAAAAAAACAAAATTAAAATGTCCACCTTTAGGAAGGTACTTGGATATGATGCTGCAGTGGGGTGGGAAGGAGTGGGTCTGATTAATTCCCCTACTGACCCAAACATCCTAAATCACACGGACTAACCCTGATTTCCAATAGAGGTGAGAAATCATTGATTATTTCTGTCATTTAAACCTCTAATTGTCACTGAAATTATTATTAGAAAATAAACAAAGAATTTAAAATATATTAGCATGTCATTGTAATATTGAAACATCCTGTAATATTCAAAATACTCCACATATATAAAATAGTTAGGCAAAATTGCTACCACCATAAATCATTGAAACACTTTTAAACTGTCAATTCAAATAACAAAAATTTAAAGATTCTGAATAAATAAAATCTTTTCTTTAAAATTTTTTACTCATTTTGGTAAACACATGAATATAAAAATGTTCTTGCCGTCTTTTCAATTATATATGTCTATCCAGGTTTCCCATAAACCACTTCAAAAAGAATATCTGAATGTTAATATCAGAGATGATTAAAATTTTGGAGTTGAAGACATATAAATATTTCTTGGGTTGAGCCCAAACACCTGAGATGTCCAAACTCTCAGCCTCTCAGCTACAGCCTACACATTCTTCTCCATGGTCAGGCTTGGTAAATGGATGCAACTTGAAAACCTCCTACAGTGTGGGGTAACCCAAACACAGAAAGACAAAAGACACACGTTTCCTCCATCAGAGGCTTCTGGCTTCAAGTCTTCAGACATGCTACAGAATCTAACTGCAGCAACCAGGAAAGTAGAAAGGGTTATTGCATGGGGTGGAGTGTGGAAGCAACAGAGAGGAGTACAGGAGGATGCTACCTGAAACTTAATTCCAAGTTATTCAACGTCCATGATCATTTCACATATTATTTTCTAGTGGAAGATGATGCCAGAAGAATCATTGGTTAATGCCCATAAAGGATCCATTCTGATAATATATATAAATACATTATTCAATAGTAAATATTTATGACCCACTATGCCCCTTACATTGATAACTGAGGTAGTAGCCAACAGATAATATGGAAAACTAACAGTACATAGATGGGATTGTCTCTAGTTTTTAGTTTCATGAAAATTTCTGGATTTATTCACATTTCCCTAATTTCTTAAGAAAAAGGAAACTTTCCATTAGAAAATTCATTTCTTTAAATTGTTAATCATTACTGATCTTTGGTTAGTATCTGTGCCATGGTACACATGTGTCCAGAGGACAACTGTGTCCAGTAAGTTCTCTCATTCCAGTCTTATGTGGCTTTTGGGGATAAAGCTCAGGTGGTCAATCAGACTTGTGCAGCAAGTATCTTTACACACTAAGCCATCTTCCTTGGCTCCTATTACAACTTCTGCAAAAAAAAAATATATAAACTTGAACACAGTTAAAGAGTAATGAACTCTCTAGAACCCTCTATCTCTTATTTTCTTAGCACACCGCAAAAGTCACAGCACACTCAGAAAGAAAATAAACAATGTCAAACTCCAGTTTTCACGTGCTGCCAGAATCAACCAACTCTAACACAACCAACAGGGTTTCCCCAATAATCCCACTCTTAAGTCACACCATCGGAAATTCTCTAGAGTATATATAATCATGTGATAGAAAAATAATAACCTCAAAGGCAGACACTACCTCAGAATAAAGGGTTAGGAAAAGGTTTTCCAATCAAATGATCCTAAGAAACAAGCAGGGGTGGCTATCCTAAAATCTAACAAAATGAATTTCAAACTAAAATCAATCAGAAAAGATGGAGAAGGACACTTTACACTCATAACAGGAACAATTCATCAAGATGAAATTTCAATCCTGAATATCTATGCCTCTAATATAAAAGCACCCACACATGTAAAAGAAACATTACTAGAACTCAAATCACCCATCAAACCCCATACATTAATAGTAGAAGATTTCAACACTCCTCTCTCGCCAATGGACAGATCAACCAGACAGAAACTTAACAGAGAAATAAGAGAACTAATGGAGGAAATGAATCAAATGGACTTAACAGACATCTATAGAACATTCCACCCAAACAGGAAAGAATATACCTTCTTCTCAGCATCTCATGGAATCTTTTCAAAAATTGACCACATACTTGGTAACAAAGCAAACATCCACAGATACAAAAAAAAATGGAGTAACAACCTGTGTCTTATCAGATCACCATGGAGTAAAGTTAGAATTTAAAAACAATACTACCCTTAGAAAGACTACAAACTCGTGGAAACCGAACAGTCAACTACTAAACCACCCATGGGTCAAGTAAGAAATAAAGAAAGAAATTAAAGTCTTCCTTGAATTCAACAAAAATGAAGATACAACATACCCAAACCTATGGAACACTATGAAAGCAGTGCTAAGAGGAAAGTTCATAGCCCTAAGTGCCCACATAAAGAAAACAATGAAAGCTCACATTAGAGACTTAACAACACACCTGAAAGCTCTAGAAAAAAAAAAGAAGCAGACTCATCCAGGAGGAGTAGAAGACTGGAAATAATCAAACTGAGGGCTGAAATCAAGAAAATAGAAACTTAGAAAACAATCCAAAGAATCAAAGAAATAAACAGCTGGTTCTTTGAGAAAATCAACAAGATTGACAAACCCCTATCCAAACTAATCAAACGTTGGAGAGAGAACACGCAAATTAACAAAATCAGAAATGAAAATGGTGACATAATAACAGACACTGAGGAAATTCAGAGAATCATTAGGTCTTCTACCACAACCTGTACTCCACAAAATATGAAAATGTAGAAGAATGGACAATTTTTAAACAGATACTATATACCAAAATCAAATCAAGACCAGGTGAGCAATTTAAATAGACCTATAAGTCGCGAGGAAAAAGTAGCTGTCATCAAAATCTTCCCAACCAAAAAAAAAAAAAGCAAGCCCAGGGCCAGATAGTTTTAGTGTAGAATTCTACCAGAACGTCCAAGAAGAGCTAATACCTATACTCCTTAATGTGTTCCACTTAATTGAAACAGAAGGGTCATTTCCAAACTTTTTATGAAGCTACAGTTACCCTGATGCCAAAACCACACAAGGACTCAACCAAAAAAGAGAATTACAGACCAATCTTACTCATGAACATCAATGCAAAAATTCTCAATAAAATACTGGCAAACCGAATCCAAGAACACAACAACAAGAACAACAAAATCATCCATTATGATCAAGTGGGCTTCATCTCAGAGATGCAGGGCTGGTTCAACATACTCAAATCTATCAATGTAAATAATATAAATAAACTGAAAGAAATAAAAAGCAGTTGTTACCTGTGTCTCTATCAGGAATGAATTCTGGTGGAGGGACTTGATCCCCAGTGGGGGATAAGTTGGCCTTTCCAGGTGTGTATCCTCTCAGAACTCCAAGAGAAAAGGAACTGAGTCGCCTCTTTAGTGATACTCAAGTTATGACTTTCTGCCCCTCCTTTTGAACAAAGTGAAAAGAGGAAATTGTATGATGAAAGCGGATTCTGACAGCAAAAAAAAAAAAAGAAAGAAAGAAACAACGTGCCATGCCAGATGCTGCAGATCATGTCCATAATCAGTATTTGAAGACTGAGAAGATGGGACATTTGAGGAGAATGTAAAACCAGAGGTTCTTAGCAAAACATCTAATGAAAAGACATTCCTCTGATCCTAGTTTTGTAATCAACAGGTGGAAATTTTCTCTTAAGCTACTATTTGAAAACAAATATTTCTTGTTTTTGAATTATGCTTATTACAACTAAGTGTGTTTTGTGGTACTTTGAAGCACTCACGTTTCCACTGTGAAACTTCTGGTACTAACTCTTTTCGATTTTTATTCATGGATAAATTTACTGATAATGCTGATGTCGTTTCATACATAGTGGTCCTGCTGCTGACATTTTCATGGTGCTGGGATATCAAATCTAACACTGAGCATGCTCAGCAAATACCTACCATTGAGCTACAGACCCAGGCTTTGTTTTCTCTTTCATTTTGTTTTGAAGTTTTGTTTTTGATCTTTGCTTCTTTTTTATTATTTTGTTTTCTTCTGTTTTGAGATAGATGTATCGTACTTACTATGTAGTCCAGGCTTACCTCAAACTCACAGTCCTCTTGCCTCAATCTCTTCAGTGCTAGAATTATAGTTGTCTACCACCACACCAATTTACACCATGTTTCTAATTCTTTTCTAATAAATAATAAGAATTTTTAATTTTATAAATATTAAACTTTACCATTTTAAAGCCATATATATTAACCTCTTCTATACAGCACAAGTTAATTAGGCTATTTAGGTAGCCCTTCTATGCTGACATTTAAGTTGTTTGCACTATTTTGTTCTTAGAATAAAAACTACATGGGGTATACTTTAGAGCATTCTTAAAAAGACATTTTACATATGCAGTCATGGGATTAAAGGAGATACATATTTGAGAAACTGATATAAATTATTAGACACACTATTTCATTTATAGTCTACCAGCTGGATGTGAAAATATTCACAATAGTTTTTTTTTTAGAAATGAGAAAAGGTAAATTTTTCTTCTATGTGATTTTTAACCATAAATTTGTGAAAAAGAATTCCTGGAAAGAAACTGTGTCTGCAAAGAATGATTTACTTGTTAAAACTACAATGATGTGAGCTAGGCAGTAGTGGCACATGTCTTTAATCCCAGCACTCAGGAGGCAGAAGCAGGCTGATCTCTGTGAGTCCAAGGCCAGCCTGGTCTACACATCGATTTCTAAGATAGCCAGAACTGTTACACAGAGAAACTGTCTTGAAAAAGTCAAAATCAAAACAAGCAAAAAACTATATTGATGTGGAGAAATTGGAATGTTGTAAGTTTAGGGACTAACTACACTACATAAAATAGCTTTAGCCCTCTAAATAGTCATTCCTGAAATCTATTAACTTAGCAGACCACTAACTTCCGACATGCACTAAGAATGTCATCTGATGAACTATGGAAAAGCGTCCCTCATCTTGCTGTAATCACCTCTCTAATGGGCCCAACACTATATATGCTAAATCTGCCTTTCTCAGTTCTGTAAAACTACAAAACTTCATGAAACTGCTTCCACGTTGGAATATGAAGCCATGGTCACTCAAAATGGCTTCAGAATAAACTGTTATTCCCTTTAAGGTAGAAGTTTTCAACCTTCCTAATGCTTCAAATTCTTTAATATAACTCCTCATGCTGTGGTTACTCCCAACCACAAAATTATTTTGTTGTGACTTCCTAACTGTAATCTTGCTACTGTTATGAATCCTAAGGTAAATATCTGATATGAAGGATATCTAATATTTGGCCCCTGGGAAAGGATCTTTTGACCCCTAAAGGGATCAAGACCCACTTGATTGAGAACCACTGCTTTAAGGCAAAAGCTGTTTTTTAAAATCAATAGATCTTCATTCAAAACTCTTGCTGTGCATATCGCCAGTGAGGCCTCACGTTCTAACACTGAATGCTGAAGATGTTAGAAGCTTAATTGGGATTGGAAGTATTGTTCAGAGATGACTCAAAGTACCACAATAAAATAATAATTAATAATAATGTTAGAGGAAGAAAGGGAAGGAAGATTATTTGAATTCTATGATCTGTTGCCATAAGCTAACCCTTGCCAGAATATGTTCAAATCTCTCACTAAACTTTACTTTCTTTGACTTTAGCTTTTCTAAGTCACTAGCTTGTTTTTGATGAAACCAATTTAAATTGTTCTTCAAATCAAGTGAAGTGGTTAATGGAGCACTGGGGGATGGGGAATGGGCAGTGGCTGGAAAACAGAAGAGGAACTGACATGCAATGGCAAGTATGACCCCTGCTTGAGCAGGCCAGAGGTGAACTTCCTGCTTCTGTCTTCCTTTATTAACATCTGGCCAATCTTTAATCATGACTCTTTTAGTCTTCATTAACTTCCACCTCCAATGTCTGCTCATATCTACTCCTGGTCTCACCATTGGGCTATGCTGCCTCTGTCTTACATGGCCAGTTTTTGTCTAACATTGTTCTCTTATAGACTAAAAAGAATACATTAATTTTTGTAGGGCACTAGTCTTTATGTGCCCACTACTTTTACCCACTGAGACATCTCACAGGTCCCCTTTATGTTCCTAAACCATAATATCTCTAAGTCACTACACAAATCTGTCATTGTCCTACACCGGAGGTTCAGACATTAACTCAACAGAATAAGTGAAGTTCCTTGGTTGCAGAGTAAATGTTTCCAGAATACCTCCCACTAATCACTGTTGTCTCTATCCCCTAATCCTGAGGGAATCACTGTCTCTAGTCTTCACACACACACACACACACACACACACACACACACGCGCACACACCTTGTAGAATATTAGTTAAAGATGTGTTACATTTGTTTATGCTGTGGAATATTTGTTAAATGATCCAAAGATGTGTCATATTCTATTATGTTACATTTGTTTAACTCTGTGAAGCTGTGTTTCTTTGCCTTCTAAAACATCTGATTGTTCTAATAAAAAACTGAATGGCCAATAGTGAGGCAGGAGAAAAGATAGGTGGGGTTGAAAGGCAGAGAAATTAAGTAGAAAGAGCAAGAAAAAGAAAAAGAAAAAAGGCTTCCAGAGGCCAGCTACAAAGCAAGCCATGGAGTAAGAAGTAAAGAAATATATAAGGAATAGACAAAGATAAAAGCCCAGAGGCAAAAGAAGGTAGACAGGATAATTTAAGAAAAGCTGTCAAGAAACAAGCCAAGCTAAAGCCGCGGATTCATAAGAAAGAATAAACCTCCATGTGATTTATTTGGGAACTTGGTGGTGGACCCCAAAAAGAGCAAAGCGTAAAGAATTAACAACACACACATCACCAAAACCAAGGAATGAAAGAAAAGAGATTTAAGAAAGCTATGCTTGGAGAAGATGGCAAGTCGGGGTGCAGGAACAGCCGTGCTGGAGAATGTGGCAGACACTGTGTCCCAATGTTGTCTCAGCTTTCCAAAAGAAAACACTGTGAAGAAGTCATCTGATATCTTCTTCCCTGCTCCCAGGCAGGAGGCTTGGCTCCAGAGGGGTTCCCTGGTGTCCAAGGGGATGTCCCCAGCTAAGACCCTGGGCAGTGTAGGAGACAGTGCCTGAACTGGCCTTATCCTGTAGTCACACTGATGACTATCTTGAATATCACCATAGAGCCTTCGTCGACAACAGATAGAGATAGAGACAGAGACCCACATCAGAGCACTGGACTGAGCTCCCAAGGTCCAGTTGAAGAGCAGAAGGAGGGAGAATATGAGCAAGGAAGTCAGGACCAGGAGGGATTGGTCCACCCACTGAGACAGTGTGCCTGATCTAATGGGAGCTCACCAAAGCCAGCTGGACTGGGACTAAACGAGCATGGGATCAAACTCAGACCCGCTGAATGTGGCTGACAATGGGGGCTGACTGAGAAGCCAATGATAATGGCACTGCGAATTGTCTCTACTGCATGTACTGGTTTTTTGGGATACTAGTCTATTTGGATGCATACCTTCCTAAGCCTGGATGCAGGGGGAAGGACATTGGACTTCCCACAGGGCAGGGTACCTCTTATGACTAGAGGGGGAGGGGGGAGGATGAGTGGGGGAGGGAAGGGAAATGGGAGGAGGGGAGGAAGTGGAAATTTTGAATGGTATTATTTATAAAGCAATAAAAAATTAAAAAATAAAAATAATATTGCAATATGAAAAAAAGAAGTTATCTGATTTACTCAAGGATACCTTGTAACTCTGGACCTATAAATAAAGACTTCCAGAATACAGGGACTATGAATACAATGTGTACTCAGAAGGGTCTGTGTTTTAGCTTGCCACAAAGCATACACCTGGAGAGACATTAGTGGAAACACCAACAAGCTCCTGTGACTTCAGGTAAGTCCCATCATTCACAAAGTTTTTGACTACAGCAAAAGAGAAACACAAACTTCTCTTCAGGCTTTTTGTCAAGATTTAACAAGACATACAAATAGCTTTTTGTTTTGTCTTGTTTTGTTTTGTTTGAGGCAGGGTCTCACTATGTAGTCCTGGCTGACCTGGAAGTCACTATGTACACCTGGTTTGCCTGGGACTCTCCTGCCTGCCTCCCAAATGTTGGGTTTAGGGGTGTGAGCCACAGGTCCAGCTTCACAAATAAAGTTTTTAACCATAACCTGGGAAATGGATGGCAAACTTGCATTCAACATTAAACATTATATTTAAAGTCCAAGACTCCAATCTTTCCTTATCATATAAATTTGAGCAAAACACTGCATCTTAAATAAACTTTTTTTTTTCTCTAAAGTGGAGAGAATGTGTTACCTACTTCCTAGGGTTGGAATAACTGCAAAACTGCAACCAGGAAATATAGAGACGAAAGCTCTTAGATGTAGGGGTTGGAGCATTAACTGCTCTCTCAGAGAACCCAGGTCCAATTCCCAGCACCCTCATAGCAGCTAACAACTGTCTGTAACTCCAAAATCTGACACTCTCACACAAACATACAGCAGCCAAAACACCAATGCACATAAAATCAAAATAACATTTTTAAAAAGCTCCTAGACTTCAAAATAACTTTAACACTTTCTAGCCTGCAGATACTTCTCTAACCCACAGAATGAGTTAGGTTTTCTCTCCGACCCTATCAAAAAGTGCAGGTGTTTGGAAGACCAGCATGGGGATGGCAGATGAGCCAAAGCCAGGAACTGAGAGATCTACATCAGTGATTCACTGCTGCTCAGGAAACTCACACTGTTGCTCCAGAACCAAGGATTTATGTCACACTGCCCGCAGATATATTAATGTGCTGTTTACACCCTTGTGACTGCTGAGAAGGAGTCATCCTCACCAAGGAGCTTTCTCCATACTGTTTGTGCTTCTAACATTATGCAAAGTCTGTGAGCAAGAAATCCCCATCTGTTTCGCTTGTTACTGTTACCAAAGCATGAACAGGATGTGGGCTGCTTACCAGTGTGCTTGATAAGGGACAGAGGCTAACAAAAAAACTGGACACAGGATGGATATTTTTTGGTTGAATACGGACAGGAGAATGCCAATAACTGTAAAGTCAAGTTAGCAGTGGATTCTTCTGAGCTCTGTAACTAAGCTCTGAACGGTTAGAATACTCTAAACTGGTAACAAGTACAATTAGCATTGGAAGAGTCACTTCAGAAGAAATGGACTGACACTCCCATTGTGGTTGTTTGACCGAAGTGCAGCACAAAATACTGAACTTCAAATGACCAGCCAATAAAACAGAAAGCTGAAAAACTTAAGGAAATGTTTTGTTTTCTTGAATTATGTCTTCCAAATTCATTTTTGTGAAAAAAAACCATACTACACACACAAACACGCACACACATGCACACGCACACACACACACACACACACACACACACACACACAAATGCATATCTTCATTTGTCTGGTTTCTTTGCTGTAAAGTCCTTTATTTGTGAAGTCACAACTCCCTGTCCTAGAATGTTGAGACATCCAATCCTAGTCACACAATCAAACCCTCTCCCTCTATGGGACCCTCAGACCTCAGTGGCATCACCATTTCACAGCTACAAGCTGCTCTTCCTGCCCCAGGCTGAGGTGAGGGACACCTGCAGTGGCCACCAGACCACAGGGAAGGATGGGGTGACTCACAGTCTTTGCCAGGACTGGCTGGTCCTGGCCGGCTTCACACCTCTTGGTACGTAAGATGGAACTTCACAACACTGACATATTGTAAACTTCACAGTTCTTAAGAAAACCAAGAAGAGCTCTATTTTAAGATTTCCTGTGCCCTAAACCACCCCATATGTCCTAGCATTTACAATCACATCTGTTCTACAACTCTGCATTACCGTGCCTGCTTGTATAGTCCTTGCTGGGCCACAAGCACTGAGAGTGGAGAAATGAGGAAGGTGCCTCCGGAACTCGGAGTGACAAAAGGGGCCCCAAGAAGGGTTTCGGGTGGTTATTTGGGCTCTGTGTCACTCAGGGATAAAACCCATTTAAAGGTCATAAGAAAAACAGGCTAAAGAGATGGCTCAGTGGCTAAGTGCACTGGCTGTTCTTACAGCGGACCTGAGTTTGGATCCTAGCACCTACATGGGGATAATTACAGCCCTAAAAGGGATCCAAAACCCTCTTCTGGCCTCTGCAGGTACCAGCATCTGTGAGGGTGCACAAGCACACAAACAAGGAATCAAGAAATTTAAAAGAGAAACCAGTTAAGTATCAATCCACAACCACGTTTCACTTCTTCAGTCCATGTTCTCCACATTAGTTCAGAGAACTGAGGCCGTGTACACACTGAAGAGCGGTCAGAACCGCAAATCCACCGCTCATCACAGGGAAGTTTGGGAGTTCAGCTCATCTCTCCTACAGCATTTTCTTTAGAGAGACAGCTTCATGTAGCCTAAGCTAGTCTAAAACCGACTATATTGCCAAGACAGGCACTGAACTCCTGACCCTTTGGCATCTTTTTTCTAGCGCTGGGATTCTGCTCTGGCCACCATAGTGGAACACACCTTTAGTCCTCAAACCCAGAAGGCAGACGCAGATAGGAGGAGGACACTAGCAGCAGTGCCAGCAGAGATAATGAGAGATGAATAGTTCAGTTCAAAGGACCTGGGAAACATGGATGACCTGTCTCCAGTAAGAGTCTAACAATAGGCATGCACACCATAGATGGTTAAAACAAAATTTCATGTAACTTTGTAAACCTTCAACTCAGCTCCTACATAAGTGTGCACACACACACACACACAAGAATAAGAGCATAACAAGGTAGTCCAAATGTGGAGTACTGACTATGTTCTTTCAAACGTGGAGGACTGAATATGCTCTTTTTTTTTTTTCTTTCGAGACAGGGTTTCTCTGTGGCTTTGGAGCCTGTCCTGGAACTAGCTCTTGTAGACCAGGCTGGCCTCGAACTCACAAAGATCCGCCTGCCTCTGCCTCCCAAGTGCTGGGATTAAAGGCGTGCACCACCACCGCCCGGCCTGAATATGCTCTTTTAACAACTGTAGGAAATATTTAAACGTGAAGAATCCCAAGATGCCTTGAGATAATGTAAATAAAAAAAAAAATCTCAAACCTCTGTAAACAACCTCTGTATGTGTCACAAAGGTAAGTCCTACGAAGTACAGAAGCAGAAAAATTGCTTCTATGGCACCTTCAGTAGCTGGAATTTGGCTGTGTACTTCCAGATCAGCAACCTCTGCTCTAGACTCTTCCAACCATACCAACCAGAACAACTTACCATCCTTAAAGCAAGACACTGATTTAGTCAAAAAACAAACAAACAAACAAAACTCCACATCCAGGCATTGGTACATTTTATTACAGCAAAATTTCAACAAAAAGTGGCTTTTATTTACAGAATCAAATGCAGATAGGGACTGTCTAACCCACATGGTCCCCACAGAGGAAAACCATTAAACCTGGTGGTTTTTTTTTCACATATTGAGTTTATATACAAAAGTTTCACGTTCATAAAAATCCCAAAATTATCAATTAAAAAACCTTCCTTTAATTAAATATATAAATAACCTCAAAAGTATTAAATTAAATTGGCTTAATCTTGAAATGCAGTCCAATGAGACTGAACACTAAACATTTCAAGTCCTGCACCAAATAGTAAAATACGCGGAGTCCTTCGGGATCCCTAAAATTAAAAAGCAAATAAATAAAGTTACCTTTTGTTTTCTATGAAACATAATCTTATAAATTCCTGAAACAAAACAAACTGTTTGTACCAATTCAGCTTATAAAGGAACCCTTGCTGACAGCAGAAGTGAGCGAACGGAATGACTAGCGCTTCTCTCTTCCCGCAGGGAGGAGTGCAGTCCAGGAGCACTCACTGCTCTCCAGAGAGAAGCACATCCACTTACAAACCCAGGCCAGCACACAGCCCACGTCCTCCCCAACTGTAGGAATCTATTTACAGGTTTAAACAGCCAGTTGTTCTTCATGAACGGTGTCCAGTTACTATAGTGCGCTCATCCTTTCCCCTTCTTCGATACTTATTTGAAGCACCTACTATGTGCTGGGCACACTTCTAACTCTGAAGACAAAGCAAGGTTCTCATGCAGCTCACTCAAGTAAGTTATAATCTAGGGCAACATAAGCAATGAAAGCAATACAGGGACATTTTCGGGGAGAGAAGCATGAAGATGTGACATGATTCAGGCCAGCAAAGCTGAAATATATGCTGAAAAGAACCTACGGACACAGAGCTGGCTCACACACACGCCTACTGTTCAGTTCAAGTGCTAAACCCAAGGGAAAGTATGATATAATATGGGCTCAATGAAGATGAGCAATCCAAAATTTTCTTCCTTTACATTTCATGACATTACAACCAGGATTTTTAATACAAAATGACCTACAAATATCAGGCATTATTATGCACATTGCTGAACTGGGTACTTGGTGAAATAATGCTGTTAACACCTCTGGCAGACAGATAACAAGTGTTTAATTACTTAAATGCCCCAGTGGCATCTGAATACTAAACTACCGTAGCTTGTAGACCATAGTACTAACATGAGCCTTGCTAATGAGTTACATCAGCTCAGCCAAACACTTTAATATACTTACTTTGATTGATTTACATCAATAAGAGAACCTATTTTTGATGTGGTAAATGAAATGTGTTCATCCCCAATTACAATTTCAAGTTCCTGGAAACAAAAAACAGCAGAGAAATGGCATCAATTAAAAAAAAAAAAGTAAAATAGTCTACCCCACATATACCTGTATTCACACTACAAAGAAGTGCAAACTTTCTAGAACTTAATAGAGGGTAAAGAAATTTAATCTCCACCAAGCATGGTGGCACATGTTCATAATCCCAACACTCAGGAGGCCAGGTAGGACTGTCTAAAATCCAAGGCCAGTCTGGTCAACACCAAAAGTCAAAAAAATTTTAATGTGCTAGACTGAATTCTCTTAATATAACATCATCGATCACACATTGAACACTGGCCTCAATTTCAGAATCAAGCCAGAACTGCTTCCCAGAGCCATTAAAAAGAAGGGCCTCAGACAAACCAACACAGACGTGTTTCTTATGATGTCGGTAAACATGAGAGCTGTAGCATTAAAGCATGTGTTTTAGAAATGATTATATAAATGCAAACCCATTTAAAGCCTCACAAAATGCATTTTCCCTTTCGGTAAGTTTCTACAAATATATAACATGCACAACAGCTATCGTTTTGGCCCCTACCATATATCAGGCCCGACTGCTGGAACTTTACAGACACTCTCTGCAGTCTCTAAGACACCTTTGCAAGGGAAAAGACTTCATTAGCCCTTTTCACAAATGTACAATCCTAAACTCATAAAGCACAGAACAGACAATGATATCAATAACCAAGACTATTGTACCATAACAGTAATGTTCCCACATAGAGACTAATACTCTCTGAAATTTAATGAAAACCAGAACTTATAAAACAATACCATGTAATGTGGTTGCTTCAGTATCATTATCATCATACAAATTTTATCTGTACTTCTTACCCAGAAATATAAAGCTAATGAAGGGGCTACATGTTTAAAGCGTTCTAACACTGAATTATGAACCAGATCCTAATAAAGACGGTCCTAGCTACTTAATCAAAAAGCCTAATTATGCACTTCATGAGATACAGCAAATCGAGAATTAGCTAAGATTCTCTAATAATTACAAAATTCTTGGTTATCCAGTGGCAGTTTTTGGAGCACCCCACTACCCCCTCATGAGAACGCATCACCAGTGCACAAATAAGAGCATGGGCTCAGGTGAAAAATGTTTTTATATCTAATAAGACTGTCTCCATATCTGCAGTTATTTTTCTAGAACTGATAGTTCAGAAATGAGATTACAAGTAAAAAATAAATGGAAAATATTGGCATTTTCAGATGTATATTACAAAACCACCCTCTAAAAGTATTATACCAACAGTCAAGTCTAGATGTCATATCCTCACTGTAGAAGCAGGCTTAATAATTTTAAAATATCTTACTGTTCTGTGGACACAGATACCAGTGACTGCTGTGCTAACAGTGGTATTACTATGCCTCCGGTTCCCACAAGGCACAGACCACTACCTGCTTCCCTGCAGCACACTCTACACTAGGCTCTTGTCACAGGACAGTTAAGTGACTGCTGCTTCAGCGTGTGTTATGCCACTCTACATTTTCCTCTCGTCAAAGAAAGTGTGATAGAAAGTTTAGTCCTCAGGAACACACAGAAAAGAAATTACATGTTTCTTTCTCCCGGGTCTGGTATTTCACTTTTCCAAGAGTTGAAAATACCCAATTCAGAAGCCAAACTATCTTTATACAGAGTGAAATTGGACCTGCACAGTTCTTTGGAACCACTTTGAGAAACACCAAGTATTCTGAAGGAAATATAATAGGCAAATCCATTTGAACAGCAACAACAACAACAACAACAAATCAAGCAAGACTTTTTCTGGGCATTCAAATATATAAATTCTGAAAGATAAAAAAAATGGAGAAAGTGAATTGCTACACTCTGTAATAAGAACTAACTCTCAAATTTAGCTATCAAAATTGCACTTATTTACAACGTTGAAATTACAAAATTAGAAATAATTAATGATAACAGCAAATCTACAATAAATAATTTAAAACAGTGCCAAATACCCTAACTTTGGCTGGACAGACAAGAGAGAAGATGTAGAATACTGTCAAGTTTAGAGCTATGTGCTACCTCCTCTACTTAGAGCCTTGTGCTAAGTCCTCTACTTAGAGCCATGTGCTAACTCCTCTACTTAGAGCCATGTGCTAACTCCTCTACTTAGAGCCATGCGCTAACTCCTCTACTTAGAGCCATGCGCTAACTCCTCTACTTAGAGCCATGCGCTAACTCCTCTACTTAGAGCCATGCGCTAACTCCTCTATGAGTTGGAGGTAGCAAAGGAAATGAAGCTAAGTAAGAGCTGCAAGGTGTAACTTGGATGAGTAATTGCTTGCTGAGCATGTATGAATATTGAGTTCAATTTCTAGTACCACAAAAAAAATTAATTAAAAAGAAAATGACGTTATAAAATCAAAGTTTCAATAAGAAACCACCCTGAATGTATGAGATAAGACCATCATTATATTATCATATAGTCTTTGACTCTATCCACTAAAAGAATCGCTTGGCACAGACCTGCCGGCCAACCCTGTCAGGGGGCGGCCACAAAGCGTCGTCCTCTTTTGTAATTTCACTGTCGTCGATAATTCTCTTCAGTTCTTCCATTACACTCTTGTGAACATAGGCCTGAAAACCAATTACAATAAAATCTTATAACGCCCATCTGTCTTCCCACAGTTCAGAAAGATATAATAAAAGCAAGCTACAAATCCTAAATATTCAAACAGAATAGGAGCAAAAAACTGAATTTGATTCCAAAGCTGCAGAATTAAAATTTATCCTTCTCATAATATTTCTTCTAGTCTGTTGACCTCTAACAGACATCCTGCCCTCTTCTTACCCTAGCTGCTGTAAGGCCCCGTAGTCTGCCAGAGTATCAGGGACACCCCGGTTGCTCACAGTTAATGAAGCAGCATACAAGCTACAGAGTGAGGACACAAACACAAGCACATAGGAGCTGGCACACTAAACCCAATCCACGTTTCTAAGCCTTTTGTTTAAAAATAACACTTCACAAAATGAATTAAATGATATGGAGCTATAAATATCCAGATTGACTCTTTTGTTAAAGAAATGCTAAAATAAGAACCACCATGGCTCAGTGGATAAAGACAGCCAAGACTAAAGACCTGAGTTCAATCCCTAGAACCCACACGGTAGGAGAAAGCCAATTCCTATCAGTTGTTCTTTGATTTCCACACATGCACGTTATGTTACATGTGTACCTAATGTGTGAGCATACACATACACACACAAATATACACATTAAAAAACCTTTTTTTAAAAATGCTATAATCATATGTAATTAAGAGAAACCTTTCAATCTATAAATTGGTTTCTTCATTGAAACAGAGCCTTTGAATAACTTTGTCAATACAAACAAGATAAATGAACAAAATGTAAAACATTAGACATTGGAAAATAACTTAGCCAGTAGTAGATGGATCTCTCTGAGTTCAAAGCCAGCCTGTTCTACACTGTGGGTTCCAGGACAGCCAGGGCTACAAAGTGAGATGCTGTCTCAAAATAAATAAATAAATAAATAAATAAATAAACGAAAAGAAGAAAAGAAAAGGGAAAAAGGAAGGAAAGAAAGAAGGATGAAAGAGAGAGAGATAGAAGAACTCACCTCTTTTCTGATCATCACATCGTTTTTATAGTTGCTGTTGTTGGCATATCTAAGCTTTCCTGTGTGTAGAGAAAGAAAGAACATCATGAACAATTTTAAAGGTAGAGAATTTCATATTTCCACTTGTATTAGTATCATCTTCATGTAAGATCAATGCTAAACATTCCTCTCTCTCTCTCTCTCTCTCTCTCTCTCTCTCTCTCTCTCTCTCTCTTTGACACAAGAATTCATTGTGTAGCCAGGTTGGTAGCCTTGCACACAAAGTGATCTAGCAACCTGCCTGTGTCCTAAGTGCTGGGATTAACGTTGCACACAACAAATAGGTGCATGTTCTTAATCTAGCCCATGAACTAAATATGACTGTTCAAGTGTCATGTGCTGGTGCTAAATGCAGTCCTCACAGCATTTCCTCTGATCTCTAAAGGAATTCTAGCAGCAGGTTTCACTTTCTCACCTACTCACAGGAGATAAAAATTAAGAGAAGCAACTCGCTCAGGGTCACACAAGTCTCAAGAGGTAGCCTTTGCATCAACCTTTTCTTTATTATTTCAAAGTGTTCTCTTAATGGTTTTCTTTCAAATTAGTGTATAAACTTAAGATAATAAAATTCTTTAAAAAATTGTAATTAGGAAGTGTACAAACTGTGTAAACTCTCAGTTTGTTGGCTATTTCAATCCGTCATGACCTCTGAAGTCCCAATGTGTGCTTCCCTGCATGGCTCGTCAGCCACACGCTCAGATACACCATTGTCCTTCTCATCTGCTAAAATAACAAGCTACTAGACTGAGGTGTACCCACCAGAAACTGTAAATTCTGTGAGTCATCATTTCTCCTGTAAGTAGAATGATTCGGTGGCAAAGGTGCATGAGAATCAATCCCAACGTAAATTTTCCTGATAGTGTTGCTCTTAATTTATGTAACTCAAGGTGATAAGGATAAGCTGTACAACATTCACGGGCAAGGAAACTGAGAATAGAATTACAAAAGAAATCAGTAAAAATCAAATCAAGTAAAAAATACAAAAAAACCATCGCAACAACCACATGAAAGTAAGTTTGCTCCAAACAACATTTGGAGAACAAGGATAAAGTTGCCTAGAAACTTAATGTCCAAAACATACATACAACACTTACTTAAAATCTAAACAGTCAAATGCTTAGTTAAATGTCTGTGTCTTAAGTTCCACCTTTAGCGTTGGCACTTAAGTACTGCCCAGTATATAATGTGCATTCAAAAATAAAAATCCTCGGGGCGGGAAAGCAGAGCTGTCCAAAGACAGAATTGCCTTACACTACACAGGAGGCTTCAACAAAGCCCCACGCCTGCTCTTCTCCAGTGTTTCTCTCCCCCAGAAGACAAGATAGTTTTTCTTTCTTATCTCATGTGTCTCATCTTCTAAAGAAAGATTTTTTTCGGTTTTGGTGGTTTTGCTTTGTTTGGCTTGATTTATTTTTTGGGTTTTTTTTTTTTGGGAGGGTGGAGGGGTATTTTGTTTTGTTTTTAGAGACAGGGTTTCTCTGTTAGCCCTGGCTGTACTGGAGCTCACCACGTAGATCAGGATGGCCTGGAACTCAGAGTTCTGTCTGCTTCTGCCTCCCAAGCCACCACAACTGACTGAGGGAAAGATTTTTTTTTTCTTTTTTTAAGTCCTGATCATTTATTTATTACTCTTAAAGACTTACTCTTTTTTGGACTCAGACTTAAAAGTAGAAGCTTTCAGTAAGGGCAGTCTACATCTCTTAAAAATCTATTCCTGGTGGTCTTTGTTTTGTTTTGGGTTTTTTTTTTTTCTTCCTTCATTGTCTAGGACAAAAATTTAGCGTATTCTGCAGCCTCTTTACTTTTTTAGTGTTGTTTCTTCAGAGTAATAAGTCAAAGTTGAGAATCTTAGTTACTTTGGTCTGGGACTTCTCTGTTTAAGAGCTTTCTGACAACATACTGGTAGAAATCTTCTTTACAGTACTTGAAAAGCTTTAGGATTGTGCTAGCTGTTAGTCCAGGACTATTCTTTTTTTTAAAAAAAAAAAAAAACAATAACCAATTTGCAGACACTCAGATTGACATCAACAATGTATCTAGAACAGACTTATGCTTCCTCTCTCTCTAGTTCTCTTTGGTCTATAGCAAGTATGCTCCTTACTCAACAGCAGGGTACTCTGAAGTGGGTCAAGAAGCCTTGTTGCATGGGAAAACCTTATTTGTCGTCCCCATCAATGATTGGATCACAATGATTGGGAACCCCTGCACTCTTCACCCAGAGCACCAGCTGATCCTTCTGTGGCCTCTGTTTCTCTTAGAAAGTCCAGAGCTTGTGTTCATTGCCCACTTTAATGTGGACTGCCTGCCAGTGGCTGGGGAGGAGATATTCAACTTCTTCTTAACAGCGCTGACCACCTAGGAGGTAATATGAAAAGGCATTCCAGGAAGCTTTCGCTGACTGCCTGACCTCTGGGCATCATCCATCCATGTATCTTGACATAGAAGGTGAAGAACTGTATTTCAATACCTAACACCCATCACAGTCCTGTTAAACGGGGGAGGGGAGGAATTCCTCCCCTACAAAGCAGCCTTAACACATAGAGTAAATGAGTGAGTCGGCCAAAGGGTCACCCAAAGATTTCAGGCATCCGCTGAAATATCACTTGGTAATTCTTTTAACACTGCCGAGGCACAGACTCTCCATTCCAGGTTTCCGATTCCTCTATGTTCAACCTTTCTGATGGTAGCAGGATACGCCTTTCTGGGTAACTTTACAGCAATTTTTCTCTCACAAAAGCACGCAAGCTCTTCCTAAGTTGGAAGGAACCCCTTCAAGCCCTTCTGTGAGGCTGGGGAGTGGTGACACACCTGTCATCCCAGCATCCAGGAAGCTGAAGCAGGAGGATCGTGAGTTCGAGGTCAGCCTGAACTAAACAACGAGACCGTCCCCTACTCAAAACTAAACAAGTAAACTGAAATAAACAAGAAACGAGAAAGGAAAATAAATTAGAAATCCACTCCTTGGGCGGCTGGCCCTCCCTCGCGGCCCCGCCCCCGCTCACCGTCCGGCCGAAACTCGAACTCCAGAAACTCGTGCCCAAACTTGCCCTTGTGCCCGACGTAGTAGCGCAGGTAGAAATCACTACCCATAGACATTTTCGCCCCCGGTAAAGCCCACTGCACGGCCGGGAACGAGCCGCCGGCGCGGGGCAGTGACGTCAGCGGCGCGGACGAAGAGCGTCAGGCGGGGGCGCTTTTCCGGTGGAGGAGGTCGACCGGGAAAGCTGACGCTCAAGACTACAGGCTCGCACTGGAGCGGCTTCCTAAGATCCCAAGCACAGTGTTTGTTTGTTTGTTTTTGTAAAGGATTTTTTTATGCTTTGCTTTTTACTTTCAATTCTTTGACGATTTCTTACACGTATAAGATGGATTTTCCACCTCCTTAGCCTCTCTCATCCCTTGTGCGGAACCGCTCTTCCCATCACGTCCTCCTGTCCTTTATGTCTTAACGTGTGTCTGGGTTGGGGAAGGATTCACCGAGTTTAATAAGGTTTGCTTGCGTGAGCACGGTGGTGGATAAAGCCCCGGATGTTATTATGGGATTCTTGTTGTTTTGGTTTAGCCTCCTGCTTTACCTCTCCCCCATCTACTGGCTTCAGTCCTTCTGCCGACAGTATTCCTGCGCGCTTTCTTGTTAAATGTTTTCCGTTATCCTCAGTCCTCCATTTCTTTAACCAACCCCTAATCCCCTTTCTGGTTTAATAACCTACACTCACTAACATTTGACTACACATACACAAGCTATGATCCATATACATGAGTGAATGGGTTATTTGTCTTAGTACTTCACGGTTACCCCTCACTTACTATAATAATTTTTAGATTCACCCCTTTTCCTGAAAATTTAATTTTATATTGGTAATGAACAAATCTCTCTCCTCTCTCTCTTTCTCTCTCTCTCTCTGTCGGGTGTGGAAGGAACATTTATAAACCACTTTTACTTTCTGGTTGCCCAGTGGTGTGGGTGTGGCTTTTTCCTGGGTCTTGAACTGAGGTTTACGAGCTGTACTTTCTGTGGGTATCTCTGATCTCGAAGCACATTGTAAAGTGGGGTGTGGCTCTACTTCCTGTACCTGGTGAGGTGAGTAAAAATACATTCCATATGGCAACCAGAGTATAATCTTCCTGAGTCCTAACAGAAGCCTTTGGACAAGGTTTAACAGTTATCTAGTAGCCAACAGCCTAGACTAAGACTAAGAAAGCAAACAAAGAAAAAAATAATAAAATTAAAATAAATACATCTTTTAAAAAAGAAATCAATATAGAATGGATCACTCTGATGGGAAGTTTGATGTTCAAATAGCACATGAAACTGAAAAGCCCAAACAGCAATTGCGGAGCAGTTTTTCGTAGCAGAACTTGTGAGTCACTTCATTCCGTAAGTATTAATAGTAGCCTGGGTGCCTGGGGTGCTAGGCCACAATTCCCAACAGTTTAAATCAGAAGGAGCACTCTGGTGTGGGATGGTATTGAAGAGCACAAAAGGACAGTGAACTTACACATAGTCCACTTTTCAAATCCTAGGCACCTCTCTGTTACCAACACTGAGTAATCCTGTCGGATTACTGATAGCCTTCTGTGGTAATCCTAAGAAAGTCAAATCTCAAGACTGTCACCACCTCATTATATCTCCACCTGTGTGATCATTAACTAACTGGAAACACAGTAATCAACTCTACCAAACACAGACCTGAGAAAGTTAAATCGCATGTATATGATGTGCTTGGAAGTCATACTGCGTGAGTTTTAACAAGCATTTCCTGTGTGCCAGAAGAGATGGGCATTAATCATAAAACAATAGAGCAGTCTGTATCTTCAGAATAAAGAGAATGCAAACATGTAAACCAAACGTCAGTACAGGGAAGCAATTAGTATTACATATAGTATAAACACAGAAAAGCATCCATGTACAAAAAAAAAAAGCCACAAGTGCTTTTACTGTAGGTGGAGTTAGAAATTTATAAAAAGGAGGAGTATTAAAGAGGATTTATAAAGGGTGTGTTATTTGAATTGGCATTTTGATAAGCAAATTCCATGAATGTCCTACAGTACAGACAAGCATTTCAGGCAATGGATGACCCAAAATAAGACAAGGAAGTGTGAACGTGCGTATTTGGAGAAAGCCAGAAAAACACAATTTATACACTTGAAATCAATAAGTAACTAGAATGGAAGGTTCAAGAACGTGGAGTGATTTTTCAAGGCAAGTTGAGATGGGTTCTCTTTGGTCATTGTTTTTTGTTTTGTTTTGTTTTTCTGAGAGGCAGGGTTTTTTTGTGTAGTCCTGGCTGTCCTGGAACTCATTTTGTAGACAGACGAGACTGGCCTTGAACTCACAAAGATCCAGCTGCCTCTGCCTCCTAAGTGATGGGACTAAAGATGTACATCATCACCGCCCAGCCTTTGTGACCATCTTAATAGTTGTGACCTCTCGCAGTAGGATGGTAGGCTGCTATTTAGGAAAACACATTAAATGCATCACCACACCTTACCACTAGGATTGCTCACCAGTCCAGTTTGCCCAAGTTTGAGGAGTTTTCTAGGATGTGAAACTTTAAGTTTTAAAACCTAGAAGGGCCCGAATTATTACAAGAATAATTCACAGAAACTTAAGCACAATGTTTTACAGCATCTGTGAAGATATCAGTTATATATAATCCATTTCACAGAGTTCTATAGAAAGCCTTGTTCAGTGGCCTTAGGTCCTAAAGACCCCCTACATGTTTTTAAGATAAAATAAAAAAAAAAAACTGTGTTTACCTAACTCTTCACATTATAAGTCAAGATAATACCACAATAAGACCTTTTGCACTGTGATCAGTATTAAAGAGTAACAGAGCAGTGTTTTGTACTCACACATGGAAAACACCAGGGATGTGGGAAAGTGTTGAGTTTACTGAGCACTTAAGTATAGCTAGTGAGACTGGGGAAATCAGACTCTTAATTTTAATTAGCATTAAAATATTGCACATGGCTATAGTTTCTCATGTTATGGTAATGTAAGAGTTTCAGGCCAGACTGTGGTGGCACACGCCTTTAATCCTAGCACTAGGGAGGCAGAGGCAGGTCTGTGAGTTCGGGGCCAACCTGATCTATAGAGCTACAGTCAGGGCTACACAGAGAAATCCTGTTTCAAAAAAACAAAATTAAACAATAAATAATAAAGAGTTTCAGATATCCGTAATCAGATGGGAAGTGGTGAAAATGCACTATGAACATTTTTCTTTCTCAGTTACTGTAGGTTCCAACTTGGGCTGTAATTACATTGTCACGGTTGCCTTGTGAAAATGAATGTTTTCGTCACCTAATTAGGTGAAAGGAAAGAACTGTTTCTGCCTTTGCCAACACTGTGGTCAACTTCACAACACCTTGTGAAATCATGTTGAAGTAGGAAGCGAGCATTCCCAACTGCAGTGGAAAGTGAGGCTTGGTGGCTTAATGTATGATATCTGTTCATAATTATTTTCCGCAAGTATTTTTTCAGCCATGTGGTTCTTTCATTTCTGGTTGTGTTCTGTTTTGATTCTTATTGAGTCCTTAAACTCACCTATGTCACCTATTCTGGCCATAACCTCCTAACCAAGTGTTGGTATTTCGTGTGTACACCACACACCTGCCATTTTTAGGTGTGATTCTTTTTTAGAACTGTTAATATCTTAAATTCTCTGCTGGGACTTTTTTCTGTGTATAGAATTCTCTTCTTTTGAGGTTTTTTTTATATCTCTTCTGCCCTTCTATATCTTTTCTATTGAAAGTGACCAAATTATTCCCTCTTAGAATTTTCGGAAACACTTTCAAACTGCATCATGGTTAACACTACAAGTAATAAGCTTATATTTTCATTTCGGATAAGTAATTTTCATTATTTATAGAATCTAACGTCAGAGCTATCTCTTTCAGTACAATGAATCAATACAGCAAGAGTCGTATGAAGTCTAATGTCACACACTAAATTTTAAGAAGGAAAAGCGAAAGTGTGGTGATGTATTTCTCTCCTTATCTACCTGCTCACCTTTGTCTTTTTTTCCATCTTGGGTTTCCCTGTGGAGTTTAGCCATGACTTTTGCCACTTGATAACAATGCTTCTCAAATAAATCCCCATCATGCTGAAAAACCAACCACTCTTATACCAATATCAGGTAGGATAATTGATCACCATGATATGATAGACTGAATTTAATTATTAGGTTTGGAAAAGCTGGGAGGCAAATTCTTGCTGAATATTTTTTTATATTGTATGAAGATATGTCCTTGTGATTGTTTTAATATAAAGATAAACAGCTGATAGCCAGGCAGGGAGAATAGGTGAAATTTACAGGCAAAGTAATAAAGTGGGAATGAATTTAGGCATGCAAAGAAGATGCAAGAAGACACGGAAGATACAGGATGATTGGTACGTGCAGAACATAGATTAATAAAAATAGGTTTTTTAAGCTTTTATAAGCTAGTTAAAAACAAGCCTGAGCTTAGACCAAGCTTTATAATGAATAATAAGTCTTTGAGACATTATTTGGGAGCTGGCAGGACAGAGAAAGATGCAGTACAGCAAACATAACAATATATGATTTAAACATACACCATAACTTTTAATTTACTTTCAAACAAGAACATTCTACTAAGGATAATAGGCTATCCTCTGGCCTTCTGTTTTTGTGTCTATGTGTTTGACTTACTTCACTGAGAATAAGATGAGAAAGCATTTCATAAATTGTTATAGTAAAATGAGAAAATTCTATTAATGTACACTAATAATTTTATTAATCTATTTTTTCTTCATTTAATATGGTGAAGTGGAACTGGAGAGAGATAGGTCAGTGGCAAAGGATACATACAAAGGACCTGAGTTTGGTTCCCAGCACATATGACAAGCAACTCACAACCACCAGCAACTCCAGCTCCAGGGAATCCAACACAGCCTTCTGGCCTTCCTGGCCACCTATATCCATAGGCACATACTCAAGAAGAAAAGAAAGAGTAAGCCACTCTCCATTTCGTTATGTGTCTCCTCCCCCTTGAACACATATGCTACAACCCTGTAGACATCTTTTCAGTTTCTCACCTGTGTGTTGATTTATCTGGTTATGATTATGGTTTTGTTTTTCATAGATACATGTGTA